AACATCGGACCTTTGAGTAGGTTTTGAAATCATCTCTGGCTAAGGGACCATTGCACCTAATTGTCTGTTTTGCATTGCCTATCAACGTGGAGAAGGGGAGGCTTGGATTTTGACCAGCAAAACTTGTACACGACTCTTCTTCATAAATTGGTTTGTTGAAGCAGTCTAGACATAAATATGGCTCTATGGCTCTATGCAATAAACTCCTGAAACAAAGCATTCACAGTAACTGCAGACAGAAACATTCGAAATACATTATACAGAAATATTAAAACTTGTATAGAGAAGATAATAAGATTAAATAGGATTTGGGATATAATTAGCTTACAGTTTCAAATATTATTCTCTTCTGCACTTGCACCGTTTACATGATGACTCGTCTTCTCCTGCTGGTTCAGATTTACGCTTGCACATTTAATGCCAAAATATTATTCTTAGATAAGATTGTTTAGACTTACATTTTAATTCCGGATGATGAGTACTCATAGCTAACGCTGCTGTCCTTAGGCGATATTACAAGGGCTTTAAGATGCAGACCAATGCTAGATACGTTAGAGAATAATTTTGCTGTAGATTCATCTGATGTTTGCTTGTCCCCACATTTCAAAGGTATAGAGCGTCTTCTCAGTTCATGGTGAAGAGCCTGTCACACCCACACACACATAGAAAAAATGATAGTTTCATAGAAAATGGCAGAACTAAGTAGAAGATGGGATTACAACCCTTAGTTTAGTGACAATTACTAACTTGTTCTCAACCCCTAAAAAGACACAATGACAATTAGTAAGCACAAAACATGAGAAATTTCCAAGAGTAGTAAATAGTTATAACAGAATGTAAACTCGTAGTATTTAATAGGCCAAACAGTTGCATTTCCACTCAGAGCATATTCTATTACACTGTTACACAACCTTGTCATAACCCAAAATTTGCAGCCTATCTCACCTTCCTTCAATTAATCAGTGAAATCTACACCTTAAGATGGCTTCTTAGCGCACTGAAACCATTGTCAAGACACTTGATATTTAGGATTGAAGAGACTCAAACCATCATAAACTTGCGTAGTAAGAAACATAATATTTGAAATTCTTGATTCCACCTTTATGACGAACATCTTTAATTAAGTAACCGAGGGAGATTCATAAATTAAGTAATTACTACTGCTAGACTTCTTTCCAGTCCATGATAATGTCCTTATAACGTTATGTAATTAAGCAAAAAGAAAGAGGAACATAGATTCAGTGTTCAATAATCTCACACGTATTGAACCCACGATAACCAAAAGGAATCCCAACAATGTTCTAAACACCATAAATCTCAAGAGTGATGACAATCTGCAAAAATATATCAAACAACAAGCATAAGAAGGTCTCACAATAAAAAGCAACATGATACTTTCCATTGGGTACACTGTAGCGGTGATTGCAAATAGGAAGTTGTTTCACCATTTATATAGCAAGGAAAGCAAACGAAGGTGGAAGAAAAAAATAAAGAAGAGAGTAAAGAGCATAAATGATTAATCAAGAGAGGTCCACTATAAAGGTGATTGCAAATAACTAAAACGGGGAATGCAAAGTGGAACAGTCGGACTCGAGCAATGCATCAGAGATAAGACAGTTGGACACCACATGGGCCATGGTTAATTAATATGATATCCAGCAAATAGCCTACTTTTTCTCGTTCAGTACACAAAAGTGATAGTGATGTAGCACAATAGCACATCATCATTGGTTGATTTTTAAATGATGTTGCATAGTTAGGTGTTGAGGGTATTTCCCTTTTAGCATGGTAAGATTCTGAAAAATTAGGGATTTGCAAAACGGTGATGAAAGAAGTAATCAACATCAGTGTAGTGGGGGAGATGAAAAGAGCAGGATAATTGAGACTCTTAATAAAACTTTCAATGAGGATTAGAAATGTAAACTTACGTTTATACAGCTGCTCGGTAAAAAAGGAAGGGAGAAGGAGTTATTGTCCTTCCATCTAATTACTAAAGCTAAAATATCATCATTCTAAAAATAAATTTTGTTTTATTTATAAATTTAAAAATTGATGAATTACATTTTTATCCTTAAATCTAGTCTATTATATTTTTCAAACAGATCTATTTTTTATTTCTCTTTTTTTTTTCTCTCTACCATAACTTCTCTTTTTCGTTCTTCTTCTCTTTGTTCTTTTGCGATTTTTCTCTTCAACTTTCTTTCTTCACCAATATCAAACAACACAAATCTAATAACCAAAATCAAACAGCGGTGGTTTCATCTGAAGTAACAGTGATAACTCATCAGTTGTGGCTTCGTGACAAATCTAAGAATGACATTAACAGAAGATTCTGAGTTGTATTCTGATTTAGGGTTGGATATGTTCTTTTATTTTTTATTATTTTGTATGTACATGTTTTTCTTGGGTTTCAAAACCAGATTTTAGATCTATAACTAGGTTATGTTTTTATTCCTTCTAAATTGTAGATCTGTAAATTTTGTATTTGGTATTACTTTGTACTTGGTGGAATTGCAGATTCTGGATCTATGATTTTTTATATTTTCAGTTCTGAAATTTAGTAGAACTTGGTGTTAGAACTCAGAATAATAACTCATGAGAAGTAGGTATAACTACTTCAATAAACTAATAATACTCAGTATAATTACCTTAATAAAACTAGTAATACTCAGTATAACTAATTCACTGTAAAACTAGTAAAATTCGATGAAATTATCTCTGTAAAACTAGTAGATCTCAGTACAAATAGCTCAGTAAAACTAGTAAACTTTGATATAACTAACAAGTATTACTAATATAATTGTGTATAACTATTTGGACCAATATTATAACTAGTTGTGATATTATAAAATATTTGGTATATTGATATTTGAAATTTTAAAATATATTTTTTAAAAATTAATGTCAAAAATGAATAAGGGTAAAAGTAGGTTTTCTTGTTTTGATTAAGTGATAAAAGGCATTGAGATTAGTGAAAGATATAGTAGATGTTATTTTCTAGAGAGAGTTACACTCAGAGTCACATTATGACTTCACATATCACTTTTTACTCTTAAGCCATTTATTCTTAACTTATTCATTTCTTTCCTAACTAAAGCCTAACAAAATATAATTAGTAGGACCTACCATTTTTTTAAAAAATATTTTTTTTTGACTTTGTCAAACACTGTAATCCATCTTCTTCTCTTGTACCACCTCTGTTGCAATCTCTTTTTTTCTCCGACGGACAACAAGCAGCTAGGTTGCTTGTCGAGTTAATACTGGAACACCTCCTCCGTAATCAATCTACCTCATCTCCGTTGCTCCTCGAGTAAAACCTATCGAGATGTGGTTAGCTTGATCCACCACCGTGATGCCTCGTCGTTGTCATTTGTGGGACTCTTACCCGTCGGCATTCCGATGCACCACCGGCGAACAACCGATGTCTTTTATAAACCTAGGGAGTTGTGTCCAAATTTAAATTTTTTACATCTTAGGTCCCTATAGATTCACATTTCAGATACCTAGATTTTTTTTTTAATTTGTCGCTAAACTCTTTAAATATTCATATTTCTCTTTAATTTCAATCTAAACTTGTAGATTGTACACTTTAGCCCCAAAATACAAATATTTATGTAAATGTAGTATATGATTAAATAAAAATAAGATACAAAAACCAATAAAAGAATAAGATTTCACAATGTTTCCAAAATGTCCATATGTAAATCATTTTCACAAAATGTTTGTATATATTAATGTAGAGATAAATTTTTTGTATGTAAATAATATATCATAGTTTTGATATATTTCTTCGATAATAAACAAGTTCAAAAAATAGCTTAATTTTACCATTTAAAGTTGTAATAGATAGATGAATGTATTTTAAAAAACAAATTAGATAGACTTTTTTAATTAAAATGTACACATATGTAGAAGTGTACATATGTACAAACATTATGTGTGTATATGTGTTTTAGAAAATCACATACAAAAAGTTTATTACACACGTGTACAAAAACTATTTGTTACATTTTCATATACAAATATTATCAAGATGAACATATATATTTTATTGTACTGTGTACAACTGTTTCCCAAAAATTTATATGTACTGTTACATTTGTGCGTTGTACAAGTGATTATGTACAAGTGCATTGTACAAAATACAAATATTTATGTAAATGTAGTATATGATTTAATTAAAAATAAGACACAAAATTGCATTTACGCATCATCAAAAGTGATGTGCAATGTTTTTAGGGATTTAGCTAGATTTGATCATTATAGTGTCAAGAAATTGTATTTAGGCATCATTAAAAGTTGCATAAATACATTTTCAATACACAGGGGCTAGAATGAACTATCAATAATTCTGGGGCAAAATCAAGGACTTTTCTGAACAAAACAAAAGTTATGAGGCCAAAAATGAATTTTGTCAATGTGAAAAAACCCAGAAATTGGCCATGACTAAGTCTTCTGCACCGATGAATTTGAGGCGATGATCAACCCGCTCGATCCGATGCTATCGACTCACCATCCTTAGCCCTAACCTTGGAAAATCTTGATTTTGATGGCATAAGCGGCGAGAAGACACGGCGGTAGTGAATTTCCGCGAGACGGCGATAGTGAATTTCCGGCGAGACGGCGATAGTGAATTTCCGGCGAGAGGAGAAATCGATGGTGAATCAACGGAGAAGACAACATGGCGTACGAGGAAACACAAGCTTGTCCAAATGGCAGAGTTATGGTCGGGACTAACGGAGGAGATATGACGCCGGAAACGCATAATCAATGCAAACTTAGAGGAACGAGCTCTAGTTTTACGATGAAAGAGAAGATGGAAATTTAGACATCGGCGGAAAAAAAGGAAAAAGAGAGATTGTGCTGGGGACCACCAATTATAATATGTTTCTCATTTAGTTGATAATCTTAATGAAAATTGAAGAAAAGTTAAAAAGAAAATATATGTTTCAAAAAAAAAAGTTAAAAGAAAGTATCTGAATATAAAAAAGTCGAGGACTTCAGAGTGAAAACACGTGGCATGAAGTTCACGAGTAAAGTTCACTCCCCTCTTCCCGAAGCTCTCAGGAACGAGTTTGGAATTAATGCCGTACCATTTCACGAGTACAAAACGTAACAGAGATGTGAGAACTCACAAGCTAACAAGATCAAAGTCGAATTTGTAAGATGTATGTAGAAGTTCTAATAAATAATTACCAAAATAGGTAAGTGATCAAAAACAATCAAAGTCTTCCGTCTTTCATCTAAACAATTAACCAACAAACAAAAAGGTGCAAAAATAAATCACCATTTCCTCACTCATCTTCATCAATGACCTTGGTGCCCAAACCAGACAATCCTTCAGCAGGAATCTCAGCAACAGTGACAAGAGAGTAGAACTCTTCCTTGGCATCTTCATCATCATTCCTCTTACGTGCAACGCGGACTCTGATTCTCCTAGGAGGACCACGGATTCCTCTGCTCCATATCTGCTTGTTGAGCTTAACATCGACTCTAACATCCTTTGTTCCCATTGCTTTCAATGCAAACTTCCTGATCTCTTTGATAGCATTGGGTGCCTTCTTCTTGAATGTGCTTTGTACATATTTAAAATCGAACAAATGAATCAGCATCTCTAAAACCACATGATTAACCATGAAAACGAGAGGATTCCTCTAATGGAAATGTACAATAAGGAGTGATGGTGTTCATCTTAAGACTAATCTACTTCTTCTACAAACAATGAGATGTCAAAATCTACAGACATTCGAAACAATTTACCAGCTATGAAGGCGTCTGTGAAGGTTGATAGTGTACTCCCTGGTAACTATCTCCTCCTTTCTTCCCTTACCTTTCTCCATTTTCGTCTGATCTCTGTTTCTCTTCAGACGGCAAGGAGAGAAAATTAAATGAGGCTACGAAAACCCTAATATAAAGCTTTGCGTATTATTATTATCATTCGGGCCAGATGAATGGGCTTATGGTACGCTAATATATTGTGTTCATTCTAAACTACACTCTCATTTAGTCGAAATATAAGTCCAGGGTATGTTAAAACTAAATCCATTCTCGTCCTGTTCTTTTACTAATCTATTAAAATACTAGGGTAACACCCGTCCTACAAACGGGTAAATACGTTATATATAATTTGAAAAAATTTCAAATTCTAATAAATATTTGATATTTTTAGTTATTTTTTTGTGTCTATTTCGCGCTAAGACTTTAACAAAATTGTGAGAGATAGACTATTAAAAAGCAATGATATATTTAAAGAATAACAATTGTATTATCTGAATAGTTTAATATATATAAATTATCCTAGGATCATTTATTCTTAAAGAGTAACCAGTTTAGGACCACACAAAATTCATAAGTTTTGAGCTAATAGAAATAAATACCAAAAATACTCATTTACTTAAAGTTGTATGATGATAGTATTCATGCTTTATTGGAAGAGGTAAGAAAAGAGTGCTATTTTGAATTAAAATCCAATAGACATGTTTTGTTATTTTTCCCTTATTTTTAGGATTTTAAAGGTTTTACTAAAAATTAACAAAATACGGTAAATTAAGTTTTTTTTTGTCACTGAGATTTTTATAAACGTTTACATACAATATTACTTCTTCCATTTCACAATAGTTTAAAATGAAAGCATTAATATTAAGAAAGTTGTTATTTTTAGAACAGTATTTAATTAATATTTTTTTACTAATTATAAAAAATAGACATTATTTGATTGGTCATATTATATCCAGTACATGTAAAAGTTACCTAGATGTGAGAAAATTACCTATATTTTGAAACAAAAAAATTTCTTAATACTATTTACAATAAAAAACAGAGGGAGTTGTATATAGTTTTAATGAAAGTACATTATTTAATTTGTTTTTGTTAATAAATACAGACATTAAGAAGAAACTATAGTTTGCAAAAGAAATGAATGATTGTTAATGAAAGAGACCAAGTTATAACATTCGCATTTGTTACTTTGTATTTGTAACTTTAAAAATTATTGTTTTCCAATAAAAGAACTATAAGATTTATTTCTCTAAAAAATCCAGAATCAGTTATTGTTGTTTTTAAGTATTATTTTTTTAACTGGGTTTTAATTTAAATTGTAATATTAAATAACTTTATTCAATAAAGTTAACAAAATATCTGATCGGACTATTATAAAGCCACTTATACATTTCTTTATATACGATCAATGGGTTATGTCGCGGTAGCTCTCTACCTGTCAGAAATTCTAGAAATCGTTTCGGTTTCTTCATGTATACAACCGAGTTGGCGGTGATCGAGTCCACAATACGGTTTCTTTTATCTAATATTCAGTTGCGATTCACTTTGTTCATAATTAGCTGATGCCAAAGACGTTTTGGTTAATCAAAAGTATCTGAGTTATTATTTTAAGAAATCTCGGTGAAAATAATAAACACTAGATGTAGAGATTTAGCAAAGAAACTTACCAGTTATCCCATATGACTCTATTTATATTTAATAACTTTTTAGGGAAACATATTGTTGTAAAATTGCAGTAAATAGGTTAAAAAAGTGGAATTCATTTGAATGATGCTTTTTTTTGTTGTTAGTGGGCTTTTTTAAATGTTTGCATACAATATTACTTCTTCCATTTCACAATAGTTTAAAATAAAAGCATTAAAATTAAGAATGTTGTTATTTTTTAGAACATAATATTTAATTAATAAATTTTACTAATTATACATACATTATTTGATTGGTCACATTATATCCAGTAAATGTAAAAGTTACGTATATGTGAGAAAATTATCTATATTTTCAAACAAAAACATTTCTTAATACTATTTACAATAAAAACGGAGGGAGTAGTAAATAATTTTAATAAAAATACATTTATTTATTTATTTTTTTGTTAAAAAAGACATAATTTAAGAAGAAACTATAGTTTGCAGAAGAAAAAAAATGATTATTAATAAAAGAGATCAAACTATAAAACCGGCATTTGTTACTTTGTATTTGTAACTTTAAGCATTATTATTTTCCAGTAAAAGAACTATATGATTTATTACTCTAAGTAATCCAAAACAATTTATTGTTGATTTTTAGTAAACAATTTAATGTTGATTTTTAGTAATTCTTTGAATTGGATTTTTATCTAAATGTTAATATTAAATAACTCTATTCAATAAAGTTAACAAAATATCTGATCAGACAATTGTAAAGCCATTTATATATTTCTTTATATTCGATCGATAGGTTATGTCGACCACCCGTCGTGGCTCTTCTTCTGTCAGGGATCCTAGGAATCGTTTTGGTTTCTTCATGCGTACAACCGAGTTAAGGGCGGTCGAGGCCACAATACAATTTTTATCTAATTTCCAGTTATGATTCACTTTGTTCATCATTAGCTGATGCCAACGCCGTTTTGGTTAATCAAAAGTATCTGAGGTATCCTTTTAAGAAATCTGAGTAAAAATAAAAACATTAGATGTAGAGATTCTGTGAGAAAACTTACCAGTTATCCCATATGACTATATTTATATATAATATATTTTAGGGAAACATATTGTCATAAAATTACTGTAATTAGGTAGAAAAAGTGGGATTCATTGAATGATACTATAAAAATCCTTAATTAAAGATGAACCGACAAACAAACGAAAAAGTCAAAAGATTAACCAAGAACCATGACACATGTCATGTTGAGAAGAGATGAATTAATGACATGACACTTTCATTTGAGGGAAAAGCATACATTATATAATAAGATAAATTAAATTTATTTTTAGATATAATATTACTAAATCTCAACAAAATATATTAAGTGCTAAGAAAACATAAATATTTCTATTCTAAATATAGAATAAAAAATATAATGATAGGTTCTTACTTATAAAAAATAGGTATATATTTAAATTATTAATTTTAATTTTGATGGGACCATATATTTACATAAAATTATCTGAAAAATATTATCTTATTATTGTATCAATTTGTACCAAATTTTAAACCGGCAAAATTTGGGGAAATTTATTAATTTATAGAAATTATTAATTTATCAAGTATTAATTTATTGAGATTCTAATGTATTATCAAAAGTTTTGGAACATAGTGAAAGGAAATTTGACTCGTATGGTCAATAAAATTTTATTTGAAGATATTATTGCTCGAGGATTAAATGGCACAAACATTTGCGTCATTCTAAAAAAGACAAGCCTACTGATATGGTCCAATTCCAACAAAAATGATGATACCACTACTCCTGAAGGTTCTCGACAAAGAGTTGCCAGTACTTGGGATCCTTATCTCCGTCCTCAAAGCAAGTTTGTCTCATTATAATACATAAAGCTGTCATATGAGCTCAGCGATCTGTTTTCCCATTGTAGCAGGAGATCTTCTTTGAGATGGGAACGTTGGTGAGGCATTCTATGAACAATGTATTTTGTGTTTCTTCAATGATTTTGTCGACTTCAGGGACTAAGCTGGTGGATAGGTGGGTCTTTTATTGCATCACTCATAGCTCGGGCTAATGTTCATTTCAGGATGGCGATCCCATTTTATGGGCTTGTGTTATGTTGTTCCAACTGGATTCATGGTTACTGTTGTCTAAATTTTATTCTCCGTTGAATTTAATCATCCTCCTAAAGCGGGATCTCGCGAGATTCCTGATGACAACGCAATTAGGGAATCGATACGCACCAACTAGTTGGATGAGATTTGGGTGAATTGCTCTAATAACATCTGTTTGACATGCACGTTAAATCAAAATAGAGAAAAAATCGTAAATCGGCTTGTACCTAAAATAGAGTTTTGTCCATATTTTGGAATTGGTGATGTTGGAGGTGTTATGGAAATAGGATTTCCATCCGCATTGAATTGCTGTCCTACGGCATGTGGGGTGGAACCCGTGAGTTTGTTTGCTCCTAGTAAATCAGATGTGTTTTTTCTAGTCACTGTGATGTATGTTTTGCGTTTGGTGTGTAGAGGGTTTTTGTGTGAATTTTTGAGGGTGGTGCATTTTAGCTCCGACGCCAAAGGCTCCTCTCTTCTCCCTCTTCTTTGTTTTTTCTTTGCTTCTCCGCCGCTTTTTTATCCTTTTCGCTTTGCCTTTGGTCTCTGTATCTGAGGTTTTCCCAGAGGCGCCTTCGCTGCAGAGAAGATCTGTCCTGGTGCAAGTCCCTTGGCCATGGAGCTATGGCGCGGTAGGTTCTGGTGATGTTGGCGGAGGAGTCGGCGTTTAAGGTTTCAGAGGTGGGCCCTTTAGCTCCCTCCATATTTGGTCACCCTTTGAGGCGTAAGGCGGGTTACCCTCTCAGATCTGATTCTCAATCCTCTCGATGGAGATCTATTTGCCTGAGGTGTCGCGGTGATGATGGCAGTTTTGTGCTATACCCTTGGTATCTTGGTTAAGGAAGGTTCCTTGTGTCTTAGCCGTAGGTGTTTCGAAGCCCCGACTAGCTCGATTGCAAGATTTTAGCCACAAGTAGTGGTGTGTGCCTCTACTTGCAGTGGTGGCTCGTGGAGGAACCTTTAGCGCAATGTTTGAATTGGTCGTCTATGGCCTTACTGATGTGTTGTTGTGACCTCCCTCCTTTATGGCCTCTCTCTTCCTGATTTGTATCATGGTTCCTCCATTGAGGTTGTTGTAACGCCCCACTCGCCCACCGCTAGTAGGCTATCTTTACCCGTTCTCTTGACCAGTGTCCCCATCATATCTGACGGACGATGCGTTAATTTTTCCAAAGGCTTGAAATCATTTTTATTGACCCTGCAATCACCACCCGAACTTTCCCCGTGCTTTGCCTTTACTCACGCGGTATCGCAAATCACTTCCCAATAGGTCACCCATCTTTTCACTACTCCACCCCAAGCACGCTTAATCCTG